CTGTAACTTTTCGTACTCTTCCACTATTTGCCTGTATTTTGCCTTGTCTTCCTCGTCACGCTCATGTACCGTACCGGCCGCTGCATTTTTGTCAATTTTATTTAACATATACAGCGCCTTCTGGTACATCTGTCTCATGACCACGCCCGAGGGTTTTCTTTTCTTAGAGGCGGGGTTGCTGCCTGCAACGGCCGCCGATTTGCTGGTTGTTGGCTGCTCGTCCGGAGTACTACGGCAGGCACTACCGGTGCTATTTTTGACTATTTGCAGAGTGGTGATACTTTGTCTGGCATCTTCCACCCTGCTGGTTTCTGGCGCTTGTACAACTGGGGTACTATGGCTGGCGCCACCAGGAGTACTTGCAGCCATCTTACCTGACCTTGGGGATTTGAGGAGCTGCTCCTCCTCTGACAGCGTTACGTCGTCCCCTTCTTCGCTGGTACGCTGTTCCTGTTGCTGTTGTTGGTTTGTTTGTTGTTGTTGTTTGTTTGTTTTTGTTCCATATGTGGTCCCACGAGTAGTCCGGAAAGGGTTAGTCACTCGTCCGCAGAGCCGGTATGCATAGAGAAGGCACTTCTTACAACCGACCTTGCCCGGGCATCGGAGGGGACCGTACGCGACCAGCCATTTTTTACTACCCGCTGGCCATTCATCCATCGGCACGGTTGCCTACACACCTTGGCTTGGGTAGTGTTGGTACGGTAATCCTGCCATTTCCACCTTCAGCAATAAAAACAACACTCCAGCTTGGATTGTTAAGGAATATTGCCGAAGGCTTCAATACGAGTACCTACTTATATTTACTTGTATCGCAACATCCCTATGTATGGGATAAAAATTGCATCAACTAAGAATTTCGAGTAAAGGATTGTATGCACACATGCAGATATGTATATACATACATATATACACATACATATGTATGGATTTATTTATGTATATATTCTCTTGCACAGAAGAATAGTTGCGTGCTATTTTGACCAGGTATATCTACTAGGTAGGCACATATGTGCATACATATCTGTGTAGGTATAATTTTTTTAATGTTCAATAATTTCTTATAAAATTTCAACTTGTGCACTTAGGTCTCTTTTTAAGCGGTTCTTTTTTATGCGGATTTGAATTTATGCGGTTTTTCAAACCCTTTTTTCGCTGTAGCGATTATGTTTTTTGAGAGCTTTTATTACTTTTTTTTCAATGTGTAAGGGGCAATCTCAGTATATCCAGTAAACAAACTTAGCTGTTTTTTTTCACCAAATTTGGTCCCCATAAAGGACTAGTGTTGCAAGCAACGCTTTTTCGGCAATTAGGGTGTTGTGCAGCTATTTAATGTGGTGAAAATTATTTAAGACTGGAGAGATTTATTCACATGGAATTGGAGATAGTGATGATAGATTTACTTTAAAGAAAATGTGAATCTGCGAAAATATCTTTTCAGCAGATGAATATACTTTTAACTCTTTCCCCGAAAATTTACATACAGGCTGAAATTATGCGAGTAACATTCAAATATCGTCCCTTGGATGGAAAATTGCCGGAAGCGTCATTTTGACAATTTGTAGTTATAGATGCAGTTATATATTTTAAAGTAAGATATTTCGATTTTCTGCCAACTGGTTTTTGGATATCTTCTTTAGTTTCCGAGTAATTGACTAAGACAAGATATTACAAATAGAGTTATCTGTTCTTCTTTAGTTTCCGACATATTCAGCCTTACTTATCATGAGTTTCATTTTCTAGAACCGGGTCACTTTTTCACTTTTCGTTTGCGTGTATTTACTACAGGCGGATGAAAAAATTGTTGGAGAAATTTTGTTCGGGCGAAACTCACGATTAGGCTGATTAGTAAAAAGTATCGTTAATTTATAAAAAATTGTTATCTCATTTTGGCGTATATAATTAAAACTGATAGCAAATTTTTTGACAAATGTCGTATACGACAAAATTTTATTAAACTCATAAATGGTTGACACTAAACTACAAAAATAGTTTAAGGATCTCGTGAACTAGTACATAGCATTCTCAGACTCTTTGGAGAAAATCTGTAATCGTGTTTCTGAGAAATTGCATTCCAAACTTCAATCGCGAGTTACCGAAAGTAACTTGTAACAATCTTTTATCCAGGCGACGATATAACATTTAGCTAAAATATGCATCTAAATAAATTATAATTGTCATTATTTTTGCAGTTCGAGTATATGCCAGACGAGTAACAGGTATATGCATACAAGTATATACCTAAATTAGCGCGTTGAGCTTGTATTTTATCTCTCTCTAACGCATTAATTCTATATACGTCAAAACCAACGCCCGACAAAGTTATGTCTGTATTTGTCAATGGCTCTATGACAAAATATTCAAGAAATGTATTCGTAGATTTTTTTTTAGTTCATTTCATACATTTTTATTGATCAGATTTTTTTTAAAAGTACCAGAAATAAATATTTAATAGAAAACTATTTCACTTAAGCTTAACCAACTTTTAGTTGCTCGGAGCTAGTTTTGGAACGCATCATGAAATATTTTCATAGACGGAAAATTCAACCCTGGGTGCATCATTAATGAGCTGAAAACCCAAAACAAATAATTAAATTTGTGGATTGGAGCCTTTTGAAATGGCTTTTAGAAACGGCAATGAATTTCGACATTATTCAAGGAATTGTGCTGCTTTCCATTTGGTGTATTTGCGGTTTATACCTTCAGAAAGTTACAAAAAAAACATTTTCTATTTTTATTTATTATATATTTTTGAAATAAAAATACTCCACCTTGTACAGCAAAAAATTTCTTTAAACTATCTTGCGCAGGAGTTTGTTGATCTTATCTTCACGTTTACCGAAACCACCAACCTCAACGTAGTGATTCTCCTTCTTGCGTCAGCCACTGGTTGGTGTTGAGCTTGAATGGCCACAGGAAGTTGGAGGCTTTCGTGAAGTGGGATCCAATAGTGAATATTTCGTGCGCCAAATAATCAACAAACTGAATATCGTGCTCATTGCGCAATTTGCGTGCGATCACAAAGTTGTCAGAGATTAGGACAAGTTGATGGTTGTGCTTGACAATTCCACGTTTGTTGATCAATTCACGAATTGATGTAAGATTTGGATGACCCCATGTGATATAGGGTTCGGCAATGCGTAGCGTATTAATGGTTCAATTTGATGAACAAACCGTAGTTAATGTGGCGAACACGGAACAACAGTAAAACTTTACGCACTTTTGGTGATACCGCGGATACTGATCACAAAAGCTAATTTGTCTTCTGCAGGAACTTAGAATGAGCCGCGTTTCTTTGGCAGGCGGCGCAACTTATTCTCACGGTGTCCATCATGGATATTTTGCTTGATATTTCTCAGCATGCACCAAGTTTTGCACGTTTGCCGAGTGCAATCACAGCAGAGCGCTTTAGTTTACGCTTGATCAAGGTAGCATGTTTGCTGACCTGCTTCTTGCTGAACTACAGCTACGACTCGGGGACAGCAGGCAGCTTCCTGGAAGGTTGTTTGCCCCTTCGCTTCGGGCTTCTTACCGGCCGTGGTGGCAGTCATCTTAACTTGTAACTTAGCACGTTGAGAAGGCGAAAAAAGTCCGCTAAATGTTTGGAGCACATCTTAAATAACGCCACTCGATTTATAACATTTCCATTAAACACAATTTCATTTAATTAAATACTTTTTAATACATAGATATGCTGCAACCAGGCACTTTCCCAAATTCCATCCTGGTTATCGGCATAATTTTCCAAATATGCCTGCTACTTCATTACTAATATCTCCATCTTCAAACTGCGCCTTCTTTGTTTGAGGCAACATATCCTAAAAAGACATAAATTTACATTAAACAATGGAATTCGCATAAATTAGCAAATAAACTACTCCCTTTGTTTTGTTTCGTTGTCATATTTCTGAGAAATGTGAATTCACCACGATGCGATACAGAAAGAACAAGGACCAGGGATGTAATTTTAAGTAACTCTTTTATTCAGTGGCAATGCGCAGAGCGTTCGGGGCAGCAATTTAATTTGTATCAAATATAACATTAAACGGTTGTTCTAATACATTTTTTGATATTATTAACCAGAGTACATACATTATATGGTATTTCTTTTAAAAATTAATGTACTATATAAACTTTTTTTCAAATATTCCCTAAGTTTCTTTCATGAGTGCTGAAAAGCAACCTTGCGTGTAAGAAATTGTGCGCTACCTAAAATTTCACCTCTGGAAACTTTATCCCCATAAAGGACTTCACCACAGTTTTTTTACTGGATGTACTGAGGGGGCAATGCTTCTGATAAATAATTTGTTTTTGTATTCTTACATACAAGTAATTACTAAGTAATTCGGCTAAGTAACTATGTTACATGTGTATAAATGAGAAGATAATATTTATAAAAATCATTAGTTTGTATTTCATTTCATAAATCAGTAGGACATTAGCATTTTCACATGCATATTCCTTTTTTAGTCCCCATACCTATGTATGTATGTAGTAAAATACAAACTGCTATTTGGGGTGTTAAACAGTATTTGATAATTAAGGCTGGTCCACATAGAACTTTCGCGTTGACTTTGTAGTTGGCGTTGGTTTGACAGAACGCACGTTAAAAGAATGCGTTCTACAATGAAGCTTGGCAGAGACTACTTTGCATATCAATAATTGCATGAAAAATTATATTTCTTGCCCTCATTTGATTAAAAGGAAAGACATTTCATATAATTTTATTTATTTGCAACAGCTGGCGACCGACGCAGCGATGTTGTTGTTGTTGTTGTTGTAGCGGCACTACTAAGCCCCGCCTTTTTCGGGTCTACGTTCAATCATTGTCGTCAAGCTCAACTAACGGGAGGCCCAGGAAACGAGCTGTTTCGATGGGTTCGGACCAGAGGGAGAGGGGTGTTAGTTGAGTCGGATTGAGCTGGCATGTAAAGAGGTGGTTGGTGTCGTGGGGGGACTCTCCACATGCCGGGCACTCATTGGGGATATTGGGGTCGAGTCTGGACAGGTAGCTGTTAAGGCGGCTACAGTATCCAGACCGTAATTGAGCCAGGGTAACGCGGGTCTCTCGTGGCAGTTGAAGCTCCGTCTCTTCTACAGGTGGTGATTGGGCTCGTATTACGGCATTCATAGGTCGAGAGTCGAGGTAGGTAGTAACTGACTCTCTATAAATGTCGTTGATGGCTANTGTAGCTTCGTCCACTGCGTCCAACTAGTCCCCGGCGTCCAAACTGGCGCAGCATAGTTTAGAACCGGCCGGCCAATTGCCTTGTATGTTGCCAGCAACGTTTCTTTGTCTTTGCCCCAAGTGCTGCCGGCGAGCGACTTGAGGACCTTGTTGCGGCTCTGTACTTTATTGACAATTGCGGTTGTGTGCGTGGAGTAGGAAAGCAGGCTATCGAAGGTGACCCCTAAGATTTTCGGGTTGTTTACAGTCGGTATTGGTGTGCGATCGACATGTATACCTAACTCTACCCTGACCACCTTCGTCCAGGTGGTGAAGAGGGTCGCCGTTGATTTCGTTGGAGAGAGTGTTAGGCTCCTTGCAGTGAAGAAGCGAGAAAGGCTGGAGAGATAGTCGTTCACTTTTGAGCGGAGGTCATCAATTCCATTCCCGGTCGCCAAAATCGAGCAGTCGTCAGCGTATGAGATCAGGCAAACTCCCTTAGGTGGTTGAGGAAGTTTCGAGATGTAGAAGTTAAATAGTAAGGGGGAGAGAACACCACCTTGTGGAACCCCTTGTTTAATCCTTCTTGGTTTCGAGGTTTGATCTCGGAAGATTACTGACGACTGTCGACCACTCATATAATTCGCCGACCATCGATTCAGTCCCTGTGGGAGTGAGGAGGCCTCGATGTCTTCTAGTAGCGTGGAATGGCAGACGGTATCAAACGCCTTTGGCAAGTCCAGCGCAACTAGGACCGTTCTCTCACAGGGGCGGTTTCGATTTAGGCCACGAGTTATTTGTGTGTTTATGGCGTTAAGTGCTGTTGTTGTGCTGTGCACTTTACGGAAGCCATGCTGGTTCTTAGCTGGGGTCAGGTGGCAAGTGAAGTATGGGAGTAGTAGGGCCTCAAGCGTCTTCGCGACCGGGGAAAAAAGCGTTATCGGGCGATAAGAGTCTCCTTTGTTGGCGGTCTTCCCCGGTTTCAGCAGTGGGACCACTCTCCCCGACTTCCACACATCAGGAATGATGAGAGTGGCCATGGACAGGTTGAGGACCTCAGTTAGGTAAGCTACTCCCTTAGGCCCTAAATGTTTTAGCATCAGCATACAGATTCCGCCGGGTCCAATAGCTTTGGAGGCTTTCGCCTTCCCGATGGCCCCCTTCACTTCACAGCTGGTGAAAACAAGTGGTGCACTGTTTTTTGGCAGCTTGTGCAGCCTCCTGGTCACTCGACGTTTGGCCTTGTCTACCGAAGGGTGCAGTGTGAATTGCCTACTAAAGTAGGCTGCGCATTTCTTCGGGTCCGACGAAGCGCGACCTTCGAAAGAGATTTCCACTCTGTCATCACGCTTCGTTGGGTTGGACAGGGACCTCACGGTTGACCAAAGCTTACTCACACCAGATGTGAAGTTACAGGCCTTCAAGTGCTCCTCCCACTTTTTCCGCTTATGCTGATTTACCAGTTGCCGAATCTTCAAATTAAGGTCCCTCAGACGGGGGTCCCCGGGGTCGACCTGGCGCAGGTGGTCACGCTCGTTTGCTAGTGCAGCTGCTTCGGCCGGGAAATTTGGGTGGACTTCCGCGATGCGTCCGGACGGGATGAAGCGAACCGCTGCGGCAGTGACTACCCTGCGGAACTGGCGTTCGCCAGTGTGTATGTTTGTGGGTGTGGGAAGGGCGGCGAAGCTGCTCTCGGTGACTTCCGCGACGCCGTCCCAATCAGCTTTGTTGAAGTTGTAATAGGTTCGGTGGTCCGCGGAAGCAAAGTCGGTGGGCTTATTGATCGAGATGACTATGGGTAGATGGTCTGATGCTAGTGTTAGCATAGGTCGCCATGAGAGGCTGTTGATCAAACCAGCGCTAGCAATTGTTAGGTCTGGCGAGCTGCTGCAGCTACCCATAATCCTGGTGGGGGTGTCGTCGTTCATGGTGCAGAATGTCGAATCGTCTATCTGCTCAGCCAAAAGGTTTCCCCTACGATCATTGGCCAGGCTTGAGTGCCATAGATCGTGGTGCGCGTTGAAGTCACCTACTACCATTCGGTTTTCACCTCTGAGTAGCGCACCTATGTCAGGGTGATATCCTGCCGGGCAGCAGGTGACAGGGGGTATACAAAAGTTGAATATTTCGAGCTCGACATCGCCTGACCGGACAGCTATGCCCTGACAGTCTAGGGTGGTGTCCCTCGGGTCGATATCTTCTTCGATAAGCCGATACTGCACTGTGTGGTGTAAGATGAACGCTAGTCCGCCACCATTATCTCGCTCGCGATCTTTACGGAGCACATTGTAGGCGGCGCAACCCAATAGGGTTGAGTTGCTGTGCAACTTCGTTTCTTGGACCGCTGCTATCAATATGCCATGGCGACCCCTAAAGACTACTATCTCCTCAATCTTGCTCTGGAGTCCGTTGCAGTTGAGTTGTAGGAGTTTCGTATGCCTTGGGAGGCTGGTCGCGTTACGGGGAGTGAGGGAGGAGTGAGGTCTACCTTGGGCCTGTTGCATATGACGCGCTTGCTGTTGCTGCCTGTTGGTAGGTGGCTGCAATGGGGGCGCTGCTGCCCAGAGGAGCTTCTCGGAGCCGTGCAGGCTCTTCGGGAGTTGAGTGCGTTGCGCGAGCGGGTAGCCGTGGAGGCTGATTGTGCCGTTTGGCTTGAGCAGCAGGGAGCCACATAGCTTGTGGTCAACTCCCGGTGAGACCTAAGACCAGAGCAGGTTCTTAGGTGA